TGTGATTCTGTTAATTGATAGCAGCCTGGGATCGGCTTAATTTCAGTCAAGCCCAAGATCACTCCTTCCCTAAACCTTTAATCATTCAGTTCCTCCCTCCCAGCCTTATTTGCGGAAGGGATTTCCTGGGGAATACTCCTTTTTGTGCTCTATATGAGTGCTGTTTCTCTTCAGATGCTGCTTCTGCTGACTGTGTGCTGGCACCCAGCAATTCCCTAGACTGGGCTGCCTGCCTACCACAGCTCCTCTGCCTCCAAGTCACTTGTGGATTTCTGGCGCTCCTGGAAATGTTAGTATCAAAGTTGTAACAGCAGCTTCAGTCCTTAAAGTTTGTGCTGCTCAGGCATTCAGGTCTGTTAGAAAGTGCCGCCATGAGCAACTGGAAAGGAAGATAAATATTCACTGATGAAAACTCGGTCTTACTGTTAGAGTCCCAGAAAAGTACTAGACATCTCTGCAAAGTATAACTGGGTAACACCTGAAGGCCCCTCAGTCTTGTGGTGCTACAAGGAACACCACCAGCTTTGTAACTCATCTGTCATGGCACTTCTCAACCAGGTTTAACACCCTCAAGCCACAGTGCCACACAGCTGCTATTCCAGCTAGTCTCCACTAGCGAGATGTGTTCTCCCTGATACACCAGCATGAGCCTCAGGGGTGGCTTGAGTTAGTCAGTAGTGATAGTCTAGAATAATCCCCAGGGGCACCCCTCCTTCCTACAGCCGCACAGCACAGACATAAGCATCCCTGACATTTAGGAATATCTCAGCCAAGTGGTCAAGCCCCAGCTAAGCTTCCTGGGATGCAGTGTCCCTCTCCCTGGTTGCCCTACAGAGGAGGTACAGTGCTTTGCGAACTTAATTCTCTGTCGGGGGGAGAAGCTGCAAGCCTGGCCTTACTGATGGGCTCAGGTTTGTACAGTGGGCAGAACTGGAAACTCCTGGAAGATGTTGGAAATGAATCAGTTGTAAGCCTTGCCTCGTGGTATCTCACCATAGCAGGCAGAGGCTTGTAAACGTTTTAAATGATTATAAATACTCTCACTAATGAGGTAAGCTGGTGTACTTAGTCTAAAATTGTCATTTGTGTCCTGGGAAAAAGGTTAGAACAGACAGAAGAACTGATGCACGCAGAGCTGGGAGAAGCAGGCTGAGACTCTGTGGAGGTGGTTTCCTTTTGGAATAGCTGGGACACAGTGTTCAGAGTTGGTGAAGGGGGAAGCAGGGATGTTGTTTCCTTTCTCCACTTCCACAAATCACAGCTTTTAGTGAGTGCAACCTGAGATGACCCTTCAATAAGCCTCTCCTATAAGACTCGGTATTTAAGTCACACTTGTTAATTCAGGACTGGAACTGTCATCTTGCAGAAATAGACACTTGGCAAGCCTAGCTTTTAGCTCAGTTCATGGAGGTGCTTAAGCAAGCATGTTTCCAGCTCACACATTCTTGTGATACTTTCATGCCTTTTGAGAAAGCTCTGTAAGCACCTGTCTGGTAGCACAAACCACATCATAAAAGCTCAGCCTTGAATGCTGTGCTGACAAACATGGCAGAAGGAAAAGCATTGACTGTATGGGGTAGACAAAGAGGGACAGGTAAATTTAAAATAGAGTCAGTAGCAGGCCGACCTCTACCCGTGTACCCTTTGTTTATAGAGAAAACAAACAGGATTACGTTATTGTCATTATTTTCTTGTTTGTATCTGTGGCAGCCACAAGAAGCTCTGGTTCTAGACCAAGACCCAAGTGTGCTAGGTGTGATACAAACGTGGGGTGAAGAAGAAACACAGAAACCATACAGCTTGAAAAGCAAAGTGTTCCAAAATGGAAAAAAAAAAAATCTCTGAAAGTTGACCGCAGTTATGAAAGAAAATTTATTCTGGATCATCTTGGACTCCTGACTACCTGTTCTTCATTCTCCTACAACTCTGTGTAGTGCCTAGTGCAACAGAACAATCACTGCTGACTGCTTCAGCAGTGCTTCTGCAGTATAGGCAAGCAGAAATGAGCCATATTTGTATTCGGAACCAGATCTAGGCCTTTCCTTCAGTTTGAGGACACCTGACTCTGCCAGCTCAGGGCTCCTAGGTGTCCTAGAAAAAATGTCATGGCAATATCGAGGCTTTCCTGTGCTCAGGCACAGAGGAATGGAGCAGATCAGTAACCACGCCATGTAGCCCAACATCCTGCCCCCACAGGAACATCTGTTCTATATTGCTGCATGGGATTAATAAACAATAACAATAAAACCTGAAAAACCACTCAATCTTTCTAATACCAGTTGCCAGCCACAGAGTAAATGGCCAGATTTCCCCCACAGTGAACAAGAAATTTCCATTTTCTCTTGCCTATTTTGACTACTGTCTATTGCTTCTGTGTCATTAACGTGCTGTCTTTTTGAAAAGGGCTTCTGACCCAGTGATTCTCAATTATTTATTTGTGTCTTTCTGCCTGCCTTTACTTGATATTTCTGCTCCTGTCAGGAAATTTTGCAAGCTGTTGCATCATCCCTTTTTCCTGTTAATTGTCTTTGCTGCCTACCCTGGTGAGGTCGTGCTTGCAGTGGCTGGATAACACAAGCAGCGTGTCAGCACGCTGCAGGACTAGCTCTGCTTCCGGCTCCCTCGACTCATTTCCCATCATCAATTTGTTGACTTTAATACCCAGAGCATGCTTCAGTAGAGGAATGCAAAAGGGTTTGTAGACATCAGTTACACTCGCCACAGCCGTACTCACAGGGCAGAAGACATCTGTAGGTGGCTGTGAATGGATCCAAGCCCAGTTCTGTGCAGCCCCAGCTGAACAGCACACCAGGAACTCAAAGGTGCTACTTTGCTCCGTTCAGGTTTTCTCCTTATGAGCTGTTTTTAACTAGGCCAGACCACTGACAGCATGGGAACAACCACAAAGCACACTTCAGTCCACAAACCACTTGACCCGTCTTAGTAACATTCCGGAGGTGCGGTTTATTCCCTTCACTCCTGACTGTATGCTCAATGGTAATGGCTCCAGCAAATTTCCTGCATGTTGTTCCAAGGTTGCGGGATTATTATTTCCTTCACCAGGCAGAGCTGTTAAGTACATACTTTAATAGCTGTCTGCATCCATCTGCATAATCTTTGCTGATACAGATACTGGTAACCACTTGCTTTTTGCTTTGGGGTCTCTGATGGGAAGGGCTGCTGATGCCCTGGGACACGCTTCCCAGCAGGGAGTGCAAAGGGAGCACGCAGTGCTCAAGCTGGTCTGAGTGATTGTGCTTAGAGGGAGCACATGGTTACTAAGGATGAAGCTCCCTGGCAGAAAACTTCCTGCCTGGTCACTATTCTTCACTCCTGTCTGCGTTCATGTTGAGATGAGATGCTGTGGGGGATACAGAACTCCCTAGTTCTTCCTTCAGCTGGACAATATAGGCCTTGTCTTACTCATAAATGTATTTGGAGCAAACAAAAAGAGGGAAATATTTGCTTCAATTGGGTGCAATATTTTTATGAAAAATACTGTACCAAATGAGCGAGTTAAGTAGCACGGGGACGTGTACACTTTCTATTTCCTTGCAAGCTGGGTTTTAATTCCTGAGGAAGTCCTGTCCCATTGGCTTTGTTCTGTAGGAGCCCTTGGGAAGTGGACAGTATGGTGTTTGGAAACAGTGCTTGGGGAAATCTTCATGGAAAGTAGGCCTGGGTGTCTGGACTGAGCTTTCTAGAAGATTGCTTGATTGCTCTTGGTGATTCTCTCTTTTGTGTATGTGCAAATAAAAAAAGCTACCTTAAAACCAGACTGAAATACCACATTACTTCTCCTTCCCTGAACCTGACGTGCAAATGCTGCCACTTGACAATGATGTAGCAATAGGGACACAGAGCAGCAAGACTATTTATAGTCTTTTCAGGCTAAGGCCTGCTGGGCTGTACTCAGTCACTGAGCTCTTTCTGCCTTGCAATAGACTTGTACTTCACTCAAGAAAACAAGGACGTGATCAGAAAATACATCTACCAGTGAGAACAGCTCATGGAAGCAGAAAGGTGCCTTTGCAATTCCAAGGCATTCCAGGCTCTTAAGCCTGAGAATGAAATAATTTATTTCATTATATTTGTTTTATGTAGTAGTTAAGCTGGTGGAAGCCAGGAAGGGATTTAGCATCATCCACACAAAAAGGAAGATGTGTTACTCCATCAATGGGCTTGGGTGGAATCTCCCATTTTTGACAGATAAGCAGGAGTTGCTCATCTTCCTTCCCTACTAACTTCAGTCTGTGCTTTGCCATGTGGCAAGTTCACGTAAATGCAAAGGAAGCGAGTTCCCAAAGGCTGCAAAGCCATGTCATGATCACTAGACAACTTTTAATTGCAATGGACACTTAGTAATTAGGCTGTGACAATTCAGCATCAGGCCTTGTCCAGACAGACCTTGTGCCGGCTGCTTCCCTGCAGCTTGGTACCCAGTTACAGGAGTAACCTATCCCTAAGCAACAGCTGCTGTGCACTGAGAGGATCCCCAGCCCTTCTCACACCCATCACCCACCCAAGCACAGAGGCAGCCGGCAGTGCTGTAGCACAGTTCATTTCTAACAAGCCACTGGCCCCTGAGGAAAAGAATTTGGGTCTCCAGGCTGCCAGTCACAAAATCCCTACCTGCCTACATCCCCAGAGTCACGTAATACTTGGTAGGACAACGAAGGGGCTTGCCAAAACAGTGCTCTGCAGGAGCTACGGTCAGCACATTTAAAGCCTGTGGCCACCACAGATGTGTGTTGCAGTCAGAACTCCATCTCCTACATTCTGCACCATGCAGGAGCAGGGGAACAGCCTCCATGCTTTTGACTGTTGGCATATAGAAAAGGTTTGAAGATCTTGCTGTAGCTCCCTGCAGTACACTTCACCAAGTGTGGTCCTGCAAAGGAAATCTATACAGGGTCCTGCAGTAGCAGACTCCCCCTAGAACGGCTGCAGGCAAGCAGTGTTGATAAACCAGTCACCAGATGCAGTATCAGGAAACTTTTATACAAGTTTTTAATACAAAAATTCAACAAAAATATATATATAATCAGGCATTTTATGCAATGCATACATTCTTTATATCTGCAGGTACAGATAAATAACAGAAGGCAAAACCAAGTATTTTGCATATCTTTGGCCATAAACCAATAATCAGCCCTGAAGAGATATTACAGGGTTAAAGAATAATAAACTGAGTCTGTAAATTTCTCTCATTACAGACAAAGTATCAGGCAATAATACAGTAGCTGGATTTTTAGAAATGTAAGGAAACGTTTCTTTAACACTGCCCAATACTGAAATTTAACCTGGTTTGCTGCTATGGAACTTAAGGCCTTCTTTAGCTGACACACAGGCAACATTCCTGGGTTTACATTGGATATACTCCGACTTTCACCTTAACCTACTTCCCCTCACCATACATTGCTCTAAAAAGCCAAGCTGTACCACCTTATGAATAAACTAGCATGGATTCCTATCTGTGGATCAGTTTCCTGAACCCCAACCAATGTACGTACATACAGAGCCGTTAAGCTTCCTTAAGTCAATATTTTTTCTAACTCAGTGTCCCAGAATAATAGCTATCCTTCCACTTTACAGCACAGATGCACCTGATGGCTCTACTAAAGCAATATATACGTTACATACTAAAAAAAAAAATCATAAAAGCAAGTTTTAAAGGTACGTTGATAACATGTAGCAGCTTATATCTATGTATGTACATGTTTTCACAGTTATACTTTAGAAAACCAAGAACACCAGGAATACTTCTACCGTGTTTTCTATAAATATTAAAAATTTACCTGTCAGGCATTTTGACAAAACAGTATTTAGGTTATCACTTTAAATAGCTCTTGAAAACCTGTAGAGTTTTAAGCTTAAAGGCTGTAAAGTTTGAGGATTCTGTAAAGTGTTTAGCCAGTTTCAGCAGCTGGGCCACCTGCCAGTTAGATTTTATTAGTTTAATTCAAATCTGGTAACAAAGGAACTCCACCACTTTCGATGGGATAGGCAAGTTCTTGACTTGGCTGGTGGGCATCACTCTTCGAATTGCCATGCGACACAGATGTTGGAGACTGGAAACTTGTCTTGGCGTTGCCCAGAAGAACACGCTGCCATCCTGTGTCCTGCACACAAGAAAGGAAACGATAAAACCCACCAGAATTATCCCACCCGAATGATTTCAACTCTTCCAAATTGCCCCATCCATTGCTAGTTATGGGGAACATGCTCTCAACTTCAGTTGCTTAGCTCCAGCTGTTCCATTTGTGCTAAACGCCTTCTGTTAAGCTGCAGCAGCACAATAAACAACTTGCTGATTATCTGTGCGACAGGCCTGAGCAGAGCTTCCAAGACCTACAGAGTACACCTCCTGAAACAGGACCACTGCCCTTGACTGTCTAATGGTCTTTTTCCAATCCACGTTTGTGGCCTCTTTTATTTATTCTCCAAGATAAGAAATGAGTTTATCAGCTTCATGATTTTACTGCTATTCCAGGCATGTTTAAACAAACAGTACCAAACCAAGTCAGAAGCATCAAGTTGCATGTCACCGTGAAGATTTTTACAACACTTAGCCACTGTTTTCAACCTTTCGTGTTACCTTAATATTGGGGGTGGAGGGTGGGGGCTAGGGGAGGGGTGTTGGAAAGAACATGTATACTTGCCCTGCAGCTAGAACACTGCCATCAGTAGAAAAAGTACAGCAGAGCCCATTGTTCAGAGGTGCAACTTGTACAGGGTATTCTTCATCAATTCTCCAGAATCTCACCATTCTGAAAAGGGAAGAATAAATTACTAAGTTATCAGAGCAGAGATTGAATTCTGTCTGCTATTTTCTCTGTCACTGCACAAGAAACTAGCCTGAAGACAAGCTCAGGCAATTTTTACAAACATTTAAATATGCATATAAGGTGTTTCAGACTTGGCCTGAAATGCTGGGCCATCTTCATTCCTGATATATACCTTTAGCTGTACTTTTCCATCTTAACTCTATTTAATACAGCCTCCAACAGCAGAAAGCCATAACCTCATTTAGACAATGTCTCTGAAGTGTCATATATGCTGGGAAATCCCAACAATGCTTGTCTTAATTAAAAAAACAAAAATCCTCCTGTAGGTACTTTAATACCTGTCATCATCTTGAGTAACCGTTCTTCATATTCTTAAAATGCAGTTCTTCAAAATATTATTTGCAGTGTTAGCAAAGGTTGAATATGAGATCACAGAAGTTTTTTTACTTTGTAATCTATTATGATATACAAGACTCACCCGCGTTAACCCCACTTATATTTTTCACTGCTTGCAACCCCTCTTTTTCTGTTTTCTGCTGTTACACACTGAAGTTTTTCAGATCACCTGCTCTGTACACAACTCATTGTTTCTACATTCAGAATGAATATTAACATATACCAGACAACACATCTACTTTTACCAAGACCATTAGAAGTCATTTCTCAGTTAAAAAAAGCTGACTTGGTATTTAAAAGTTCATGTCATATGGGAAGAATTAGAGTCTAATAAACCTTTCCTCATACTTACTTATCATCAGCAAGGCTCGCAATGTGTAGTCCATCGTGACTAAAAGATACTGATCTGACCCATCGGTCATTTGCACCTCCAGCAAATATTGGAGTAGGAGGGGGAAACAGATGCCTGGAGATAGAGAGACACTTAGCTAACAGCATAATGTTCAACAACTATGCAAGTGCTTCCTTCAGCCATGACCAGCACAGCTGAGGGAGGAAAAATGGACTGAATATTTAACTATGAAACCAGGTGTGGCCTTTGAACTACTGTATCTCTTGTAGTACTGAACATTTTGGCTTTGTTGATGATGCATGAATTAGTACCCATTGAGATACCAGCGCTTTAAATTCTTTCTCAGACAGAAAAATAATCTCCACTGCTCTGCCACTTTAGGATTTCCATCAGCCACTGCTAGAATTTTTCAAGTCTAATTATCAGTTAAATACAGAAACCCATTAATGTCCAGTAGTCATCTTCACCGTAGGAGAAAGTTTCCAGATTTGACCACTTACCCAAATTCCATAAGAATAACTCCAAGATGTGGATCCCAGACATACACTCGAGTATCATAAGATGCAGTAGCCAGTAAAGCTCCATCAGGAGAAAACTCACAAGCTACAACATCATTGTGATGTCCTTCAAGTTTCCGTATCATGGAGTATTTATCCATATCCCAGAGAAAAACCTGCAATTAAATAAGCTAATGTTATAGCTCTGCTCAGAGAGGCCATGAAACATCTACTTTTTAAGTATAGCTGCTAGTCTTACTTAGGATTACATTAAAATCAGGCATTATGAATTACTACAATTAAGAAATATGCTCAGTGTCATACTCAGATTAAAATCAAGTTTTTTAAAAATAATTAAAGCAGACATGCAAATTCTAACTCAAGTTTGTTAAATGTTATTAACAAAATAAGCCAAAATATAAGATAAAGGCAACACAATTTAACCATGTAGCTTACTGAAATTCATGTATTACAAAACTATTTTATTAAAATATGCAGAAATAAATAGGGTTAAACTCTACAGTCCCCTCTTTTCAGTAACTACCAAAATTTTAAGAAATATACAGACAGAAAATGTAAGGTTAACATATTGTTACTCCAGTGGCATCCCTTTAAGATCACTTGTTTACAATTGGCTTGGATCACCAACGTCAGCCTAGGAAGAGAAACAGATACTGCAAGCAAAAAGAATTTTCACAGCCAAAAGTTATGTCTTTGGCAAAACAACAGGGAAGTCTAACCACATTATTAGAACGAATTTATGCATTTTAAATCAAGTCAACAATAAATAGGACATTATTATTACAATTTACCCATCTAATTGCATATTGTATTAGAAAAATTGATAAGAGATGATAGTATTCTGGGATTTTACATGCAGTTGTACATTACATAATCAAAATAAAGACTGTGCAGAATTACTTAATAGGAACAATCTATGTAGTGCAGCATGATTTTATAGACAATGTAAGTCTTTAGCATAAGATGTTATGTCCCTCAAAGAGCTCACTAGGGTCCTTGATTTTTCCCCTGACTCAGTTTTACTGCACAGATTAAACACTGACATCTTGGATAAATTTATGTTTGACCAAAGCAAACACAGCCTTAGTGCCTCACGTATTTCCTAAAACTGAACCCCTTTACAATCAGTTACAAACGTGTTGACCCATTTCTCCAAGAAGACCCAAACATTCCATAAAACTGGAAACTAAGTTTTTAGGAGTCAGTGTGTTTCACTGCTGTGAAAATTATTAAAAAAAAAAAAAAGAAAGAAAGAAAGCAGAAAGTGGACATCAACCAGCACCTGCGTACGTACAGTACACCTTGCAGTCGAATGCAAGGTTACTTCGTCCTAGGGTAAAGTTCGCCCCCAGCCTGGTAGCCAGAGGTGCCACTCTTTCTGCCCAGCTAACACCATTGTGCTCCTGGGTGAGTGGTGCCAGCTTAACCTCAATCACACCAATATTGCTGCCACCACCTGTGACAGGGAAAGCAAGAAGCTTATGGAAAACACACCGCCTAAACATATCAATGTACACATCCACATCTGCTCTAGTTAAAGAAAAAACAAAACCCAGACCTCAACTATTCTCGATCAAATCTGCACTGACAGTTATAAAGCATGAAATGCATTTGAACGGTCATCCACATAAAGTACCATCGAGTGACTGAGCTGGGCCTTATACTCAGCACTGCTAAGCTGCATTAAACCACCTACAAAGCCCCTGTAACTAGTCTGAATTCCCCCTTCTCTTTTATCCTAGCTCTTCAGTGCCAAGAAAAGCAGCTTATGGCATACGTGCTTTACCTGCACTGCTTTCAGTTCTCTAGCGGGGCATTAGAATACGGATGAAAACAAAATCAGAATGCTGTTCTTCATGCTAGATCTTTTAGACACAACTGGTATTGGAAAACACAGGGAAGCATTTTTGTTCAGCAGAACCATGCTCAGACTTTGAAAAGTCCTTTTCATTGAGCAGGAAATAGAAAGGATAAATTCAGTGACAAAATGGTTCTGTGCATTAATCTAAGTATCTTTTAATATTGGAAGCTTTAGTCTTCTTTGGTTTTACCCTATGAACATGTGCCAAACTGTTTCTCAAAGAACACTTACAGTTTCTTCAACTAAAAGCAGTGCAAGTTCAATTCAAGACTTTGAAAAGTCCTTTTCATTGAGCAGGAAATAGAAAGGATAAATTCAGTGACAAAATGGTTCTGTGCATTAATCTAAGTATCTTTTAATATTGGAAGCTTTAGTCTTCTTTGGTTTTACCCTATGAACATGTGCCAAACTGTTTCTCAAAGAACACTTACAGTTTCTTCAACTAAAAGCAGTGCAAGTTCAATTCATAGATCAGTGTCTCAAGGCACCATTTGCTAGTTCAATTCCATGCACTTTTACATCATCATAAAACATTAGAAGTTCATGACACCGAGCACAAGCTTAATGTTACTTAGATTTAAAATGATTATGCACACAATTCAGTAGATTGAATGAACAAGAAACTCTGACACATACTGCTTTACTAGCTCCAACAGAACAGAGGAGAGAAGAGTCTGGAGAGAATGCACAACCATATACCCAGTTCTGATGGCCTCTCAACACTTTCATCATATTTCCTGAAAAGACAAATATTTCCATAAGAATTGATTAAACATACAATCTGAAAAGCTTTTACAAACTAGTTCTTAATTTATAAAGTTTTATACTATTTTTCCAAACATCATCTTGCAGCGTCATTTACAGAAACAAAAACTCTGTCATGCAGCCTCTAAATCCTATGTCCCTATTCAAAAAGGTTACTTCATGCACTCTTTTTAACTTCACCCAATACCAGCCTCCACCTTTAGGGAACATAAAAGAGTTTCAAGAGAGCACACAGAGCGACTGACTAATCCACGTTTTAAGAAATCCTGACCTAACCAGGCTTAGAGCAAGAAAGGAGGAGAGTCCCATGTCTTACAGCAGATAAAATACGTACCATCATCTTTCAGGTCCCACACTCTCAGTGTTTTGTCTCTGGACGCAGACACTAAAATCAGGCTGCCATCTGGGGCAAAGGTTAAATCTCTAACAACTTCAGTGTGGTCCATCAGGTTAAGGAGGAGTTTTCCTGTTACATCAAAACACCACAATTTGAAACAAAGGACAGTACTTTTATTCAGATCAAGAGCTGTAAGGATACAAAATTACAGCACGTAAAGCCACATCTTCTTTGTGGAAATGCTCCCTACAGCAAACAGCGTGTGTATCCTTTTAGACTTCTGCACTGAGAGGCAATTTCCTGAAAAGCTATTACATCTACACACTAAAACCATATGCCTCAGAAATAAGGCAAGGCTTGTCTTTTGATAGACATCTCTGTTCTAAGCTTAAACTGACAAGGTAACCACAGATTACTCAGTAGTCGTTAGTTTCATTTTTTTAGAGCTGAGAAGTTTTCTCCCAACCTGGCAGCTGTGCTACCACCTAAACTGAGATTTCCTCATTTCACATTCAGTCTCTTATCATTTAAACAATTATCTACCTAAAAAACGTAATAAAAAAAAGGTCCTCATCAACATAATCCTTCCCCATAGTCAGGAATAGAGAGCAACTTCAGGTTTTGAAAGTTTCCTTTGTTTGAAACTCTATTAAAACTACAATCCAGCGAAGATACGAAGCGCCAACACCCCCCTCACACACCCTACCTGTATATACATCCCATATCTTGATGCGCCCATTGTTCAGGCCTGTTGCAAGCAGAAGCTGGTCTTGCCCAAATTTGAAGCGGTGCCATTCTATGTTGACACAGCGGCTCTGCTTCTCAGGCACCGAAGACCCAAAAGCGAGGCTCCAGACGATATCGCCACAGTCTATTATATGTTCACAAGGCTTATTCTTCTGCCCGCTGTCGCTGTTCTGCCTCGGAAGTCTCGTACTGATGGGATTCGCAACATTCTTTGTGCCATGCAACAAGCTGCAAAACAAACAAATACAAAAAAATAGCACAAAGCATCTTGGAAAATAAATAGCCCAAAAAGGTCTTCAAGATGTAGTGAAATCTGCGAGTTGCCATAACACACATTTTGGGGGCCTGTAACAACGCATTTTGATTTCAAACCATAAAAGCAGCTTTTTCTTATAATTGTCCCAAGTTATTAACACCTGGAAACCTTCTCACACAATGACACAAATACATTTTTACACGTTTTTACCTCTGTAGGGAGCAATACATTAACTCAACCCACGGAGAAAAACATTTTTAAAGCATTTAGAGAAAAATGAGTTACAAAAATTTCTAAGACTTTCTGCTAAACGAGCAAGAAGTTGCCTGCAGTTCACTTGCACACGTAAAACACTGGAAAAGAGCGTGAGGCCAGCACCTGAAAACCAATTAACCCACCACCATGAGAAACAAAGGGAGGCGGGATTTGCTGGGAGGGGGTGTAACCAGCTACCAAAATGCAACTGCTGGTCACTGACTTCATTCAAGTGTAACCTGCAAGTGAAAACAAAACGTGCTGTTTGGAACTTGCATTCCAGTAAGAATGAGGAAGAAAGAGGTTCACCTTTAAGTAATTCCTAAAGGAATTCCAAATAGCTTTCTGATAGGAAACGTACTAGTCCAGATCTGCCCGAGTCTTTAAATTCCCTTTTCATTCTAACTTCCTCTTATTTTAGAGCATGTGTATCAATTAATACATCACTCCTAAACAGCCTTTGTGAGGTTGTGATACAGTTCTCTCGCTGGCCACAGAGGAAGAGATAAAACATAGAATCA